CATTAAAACCCCAAGGACCTATAGTACCCCTAGAGAAACCCTCCGCTTGCATCTGTGCCCCATCATAGGCCAATACGTCATCGTCGCTGGCTTCAGATGCTTCCACAGCCACAACTGCAGCCTTGGCAGCAGCGGTGGAAGTTGCCCCGATACTTGACACAAGCTACGTTTGTGTGACTGTTTGAGAGCTCACCGTGTCTGATTGGGTGCCACAATTTTTTGCTAAGGCTGTCGACTCCCTCGCCGCTCTCTCGCTCCTATACAGCTGATTCTTTGGAGCTGGGTGCAAGCGCGACCTCACCTCCGCTGATCAAAGTTGGTAATAGTGTGAAGCGTGAGCTCTTTAGCCCGTTGCGACCCGACACCACTGAAGTCCCGAGTGCTGTGCAGAAGGCGAGAGAATTTATGGCAAGACGCACAAAGGCGAAGGCAGGTGCAGGGATCCTGCCGCCGGCCCCAAAAGGTGCTGTGAACCCTTCGGTCCCTATTGCAGGCAATGGTGCTGTGAACCCTTCGGCCCCTATTGCAGGCAATGGTACTGTGATCCCTGGCAATGGTACTGTGATCCCTTCGGCCCCTACAGGCGATGGTGCTGTGATCCGTTCGGCCCCTATTGCAGGCAATGGTGCTGTGATCCCTTCGGCCCCTACAAGCAATGGTGCTGTGATCCCTTCGGCCCCTACCTGCAATGGTGCTGTGATCCCTTCGGCCCCTACAAGCAATGGTGCTGTGATCCCGTTGAACAATGGTACTGTGATCCCTCCGGCCCATGTCAGCAAAGCAGCTGGTATTGTTGTCAACCCCAGCATGCCGGTCAAGGCTGAGTGCCTAGCTTTGGTACGACCTCCCCCACCAAGACACAGTGGCTGTGACTCTGTGCAAGCGCCATTGGCAAATGTTGGACCCATTGTCAAGAGTTGTGCTGTTCCACCGCCTGTTTGTCTGGGTGGTTCGGTTCCCTCTCCTCTGTCTTTGTGCAACAACAACCCGGCCCCACCTCCGCCCAAAGCGGGTTCGGCACTGCTTGATGCCAGGGCTGCTGCACCGTGTGCGGCCAAGTCTGCTGTGGAGACTGCAGTTGCTGATGCCCAGGTGAACAAAAAGGCAAAGACGGCTGCCACCGCCCATCCCCCTCCCAACGCACCTCCTAAAAAGGCTTCCCCAGTGCCGAAGGCTGCTGTGAATGATGAGAAACATCTGATGCAGAGTGTGGGCAAGCTGCAAGTCATGAATGATGAGGCCAGGTTTCTAACCTGTTTGCCCTACCCATTACAATTACCACCCTCTAGAGTAACCCTATAAACCTGCAAATCCCTACCAAAACCCTTAAACCCCAAAATTAAACCCTCATGAACCCTAAATGTCTAAACCACTTGGACCCTCAGATGGCTATCTTTCCGGAGACCTATGATGAGAGGCAGAGCTTGTATGCCTGCTTCAAAAGGCCACTTGGATCCAACATTTTGGTTTGCAAGCATGCAAGAATGAAAGCCCTCGTTCTGCACACGCACCCCATCTACGTATGTAAATGGTGCTGAGGAAGCTGACCAAGGGCACCGATGTCCCGGAGGATTTTCAAGGCTTATGGGCTCAGGCTTGCAGCAGCAATTCCAGGAGTGCTAAGACGGCATTGTTCCACAAGTGGCTCAGTGCTGGCAAAGACTTCGGAAAGCTCCCTAACTGAAACGAGCTGCAAACTTTGATTCACAAATTTCCGATCCCATGCCCACCCCATAGACAACCCCTTCTCTGACAAGGCTCACGATCCAGCTCGACCGCACCCGCAAGGATTCCACGCGAGGAAGCCAGAGGATGGGTGCCTTTGTTGCAGTTGATTCTAAGTTGCATGGCTCATGTGGGTACTGTGGGGAGCTTGTGTGCCTATAAAACCCTATGCCCTGCAAACCTGATTTATGTAGCTAGGTCTATATATATATATATGTTTATATTTATGTATATAGTATGGCTATCTATGTAACTATCTACCTGTCCATAATACCTTCCCTTTTCCTACCACGCTCTGCCTACCTATCTACCTACCTGCCTACCTACCTACCTACCTACCTACCTTCCTGCCTGCCTACCGACCTACCTACCTACCTACCTACCTACCTACCTACCTACCTACTCACCTGCCTTATTTGTTGTTGGTAAAAAGAGACCTACCCTACCCCACCCAACCCCACCCCTACCCCACCCTACCCTACCCTGCCCTACCCTACCCTACCTACCTATACCTACATACATACATACATACATAATCATCCTTTGTAGCTCTTTGAGGTCTTCTCTCTTCATTATTGCACCAGTTTGCTGAGGTTGGCGGACACGTGCACAGCTGATGCAGTTGCATCAGAACGAGGAAACTGTCAATAGCATCATCTCTGTGAAAGTGGCCAGCGGCCACACGCGGCCGCATCCGGATTTGCCGGATGATGAAAGTGCACGCCTCTATTACGTCGGTGACTTACTATTGTCGAGTGCAAATCTATATCGCCAGGAATGAAACCATCCATGATCTCAGGTTATGGTTGACATGTCGTTTGTCAACGAGCATGAGACCAACGATCTGTTGCGTGTGTCCATGAGCACAGAAGTGGCGGGTGAGGCTGTATGACTGCCATTTAATCATTGATGTCTCTATCTTTCCTTTGCACAGGCAGCACAGCAGCTTGTGGGTGGCAGTGCCTATCAGAACCTGGGTGTCAACACGATGTATGGTGCTGTTGCTGCTCCAGCTGTGCCGTCTGCAGATGGAGAAGCTGGCTGCTTGGGCATGGTGCCATCAGGCAGCAACCCAACGACAGGAAAAGGCAAGGGCAACGGCAAAGGAAAGGGTAAGGCGGGCAAGGGTCTTGCTGCACTCCATCCAAATGGCCAGCTCAAACTGGGCAAAAAGTCGAAGAAGCCTCTCTGTTGCAACTACAACTACAAACATGACACACACTCTCTGTCTCTCTCTCTTTCTCTCACCCTCTCTCGCCTCTCTCTCTCTCTCTTTCTCTGTGTCTGAGTCGAGTTGTCCTTGTCTCTTCTGAGGGATGATTCGATGCCGGAAACTGGCGAAGCCGCAGTGAATTGGTGCCTGACGAAGTTAATCAAAGGCATGGGCGATGCCAAACCGATCACTGTGAGATTGGCCTGTGTGCCGCATCAAGAGAAGCTGTGTCTCTTGAATGCAGACTATAGATGCTTGTATGTCTTCTACTTAGAGCTGCCGTAACATCCAAGGCGAACAGCTGAAGACACATGCTTTGGAGCTGGAGACATCCTACAACCAGCTGCAAGGATTGTTGGCTGCCAAGGCTTGTTGATTTTCTTCGTGGTCTTTCAGCTACGGGTGATGTTTACTTTGTTTATCTGGGCAGGTGCGTGATGCTCAGCTGTATGCTGCTGCGGAACTTGCTCGACAGCGACTGTGCCTCTACTGGGAAGACAAGGCTAGTGCAACACGTGTCTGCCCGAAGCCGAAGAAAGCGAAGCAGGACCGGCCAATTACATATGTCTGTTATAGAAGGGATTGAGGGTCCTTTGTGGGTGGCTTTGGGGTCCGACTATAAGGCTCCTTAAAGGGTCTTGGGATTTCTGGGGGAGGGTTTTGGCTTTGGGGGATAGGGTCGGGGATCTCACTATGTGCCCTAAATATTCCCGAAAGCCTATCCACACATATCCTATCAAACCTTACCCACATCACGAAGCTTTGGCTGCTGAGGTTCGATATATAGTGCATGGCGATCTCACCCCAAAGCTCAATGCCATCGCCCTGTGAAACATAGTAGATCTGCTCCACTAACCGCAAGCCCTATAACCGTAAATAGTGAAGCCGTCTATCTATCCGTGAAAACAAAGTCATCGTCCTGCAAAAGCAACGCGCGAAACCTAAACCCATCATTGCAACCCCAAGCTCCACAACCCTAAACTGTTTGCTAGCCCTAGGAACAACTTTGTCATGTACAACATATAAAGGTGTAGTGCTAGCTAGCTAAACCTATGGGGGCTACGTCGAACCTTTTATGTTGCGATCCACCCAATATCCTTTACTTATCTTCCCTATTTTAACACCCATTCGTTGTTAGCCAAAGCCCACATGCAGGATGCAGAGGAGGTCGATGAGGATGAATGAGCAGCCAGCCTGGGTTGGCAAAGACAAATGATCGATCGAGTCTATACCAAGGTTTAAAATATAGTTTCGGTTGGTATAGTGCACATAGTGGTAGCATTCATTGATGGGCCACAAGCCTTGCCAACTCTTTGGGTCTTGCAATGCTGTGGGGTCCGAAAGTGGATCTTGCAGCGATGCAGTGGGGTGGGCAATGCAGCACATAGAACACTTCATGGTGCTTGCTTCTGTGTGCGAACCGATGGAATCATGTATGCAAAAGGGTGACGAGCTTCTTGGAGTGATGTGCTCTGCCTTGTGAGCTGTCCAGCACAGTTGCTAATTCTGTGGAGCATGCACTTCCTGCTCCTAGTCTGATGAAGACACATGGGATGATGGCAAAGGTGAAAAGAAGCAGCTTGCATGCTGATCTATCCCTGCTTCGCTGGGCTCATGTGCATCAAGTGGAGCTTGTCACAGGACGTGCTATTCAACAACTGCTGGCAAATGCTGCTGAGAAGCGGCCCCGCTCCTCCGACTCTGCTGCCGCGGGCAGTGCTGCGAAGCGACGTGTGTCGGCGATTCCATTCGTGAATGCTGCAACGGCCCTCATCGATGAAAAGCCCCAGGAACCTTTACAGGATACCCTACACACGCAAACAGACCTTGTGTTCTTCTGTGTGCATGAGTTGTGCTGTGGAGTGTGCATGACACCCTGCAGGACCCAGATGATTTTGGAGAATCCCTTATCATCAAATACACTGAAGGCAAGAGCAGTGCTACAAATGATTCTCGACAGCAGCAATGGTAGCCCTATACACTCCCATTACAGCATCATGAGCATGTGGATTTGTGAATTCTGCTTTATGCCTGCAAGGTACAAGAATTGGCTGCAGGGGCAATGTCATGGTGTACATCTACTGGTGGCAAAGCCAACAAAGGAGACCTGGTCAAGAAGCTCTCAAGATTAGGAGCTCATGGCGCTCATGTGCAAAATGCAGAAAGGGACTTGCAAAGAACTATCTCATCCTTTGGGTACTCACTGCGAGCCAAAATCGATACTGTTCCGGTCCATTTATGGGACCCAAAAGACTCTTGCATCTTTGAGGCCGATCTACCAGCATCCCGCCAACACAGTTTACATGGTATATATATATATATACACCACATGACGATGTGTTTCCTTGTGCTCATATTCTTCTGTGACAGCCAAGGTTATCTACCCCGATGAATTTGCCAGGGCCGTCTGGGATCTGGGCAAAGAGGTGTTCGAAAAGGTCTATTTGGGAACTGTGGGCAAGACTGGAGCTACTGAGTATTGGGCGAATGTGCGCGATCGATGTGCCTGGTACCCGCCAGGTATACCTGAAGATTGCCACTCAGGCCTCATACCGGTTTCTCTCTATGGTGATGAGATACATGCATACCGGAACACGGATCCTGGTGCAGTTTCTGTTGTTGGATGGGGTTCCGACCTCAGTTTCGGTATTGAGGCCATGCTTCAGTATGGACTGATTTGTGTGTATTCGGAGTACTGTGAGTGTGAAAGCACTTATGGTGATATCATGGAAGCAATCCTTCCAAGATTCCAATACCTTTGTGATCCACATGCCCCTCACCCCTGGAAAGATGAGTTTCGGTTCCTGCTGTGTGGAGTACGTGGGGATCTAAAATGGATCAACGACAGGTATAAGATCCATAACTATCGGCTGAACAGTTTTTGTTCTCGATGCTCCTGTGTCAAGACTGCCGACAATGTCTATGAAACCATCACAGCCTTCGGTGAGCAGGCACAACATGTGCCAGTGAGCCATTCTTCATTCTGTGATTCCAAGTGCATCGACGAGTGGCCCTGGCCGATGAGGTATGGTGTACATCTTGAACGCTTCTGTCACGACACTTGTCACAGCCAACTGCTGGGAAGTGGCAAATGCTTGAATGGTTCTGCATTGACATTCCTGTGCGAAAAAGGATATTTTACTGGTGGGCGATTCGGCCAAGGTGTCTACGATGTGGCACTACAGCATCAGCTCCAGTTTGCATATTCAGATTTCCGATCATGGGCGAAGTCTGCTGGCCTGACAGTTCATCACCCGCGATTCACCTTCAATCGATTGAATCGCAAGCATCGGGGCATGCAGCCATGCTTCAAATTTGATTTCATCATTCCTCATTTATAATTGGTTTTTCTTCTTCTTTTATGAAGATAAGCCGGTTAGGTTAGTATACATGGTCTGTTTGTTTGGTTTGCATGCAAAGAAAATATGCAGGCCTCGCTTCAAAGGCAGTGGCAGGCAAAGCAGTCACGTTCTGGCTTGCATATCGCTGTATGGAGAATGCAGAAAAGGATGGCTCCACGCCGCTGGACCGGCTCGTAGCTGTCTGCGTTTGGAGCTATGCAGATTTGCTTCGCCAGTTTGACGAATGTCCGCTGATTTTATCAGAAGCGCAAGCAAAACAAATGTTCAAGACTGGACAGCGACATTTGGAGACCTGGGCTACCCTGAGATCTTTGAGTGCTGCATTACCTGCGGGCAGGATTCCCAACCGCAATCTTTGGATGATACTACCGAAGCTGCACCACCTAAAGCATGCACTTCAAGATGCCCTTCTCACGCGAATCAATCCGCACACACAGAACTTACTTGCAGCTGAAAGTTGGATCGGGATTGTCGGAAGAATGGCCCGGATTCTTGGCTATTCAGCTTCATTACGTTTTTTTTGTAGTGCTTATAAATATATATATATATATAGGTGAAAACCAGCAAATTGAAAGCATCCGCATCATGAGCATCATAGGACAGCGCACCGCTCTACAGTGAGCCGAAGGACCCTGCAACGCTACCGTTGCAGGGTCCGCTTTAGAATGCAAAAAGCCTTGAAGAGGCTGCGTGTGTGACAGGAGAGACAGATGCTTCCGATGCTTTCTGTGCAAAAGGCAGATACGTCGAGAGATGTTGTGTATTGCATCATGAACATACAAGTCAGGACTGCTGCATACGTACGGGGGGACCTGGCTGTGACGTTCCTGATTAACACATGACCCCTCAAGCCCCTCAGGACCCCTCGGCGACGGGTCCAGAAAGCCATGTCCTCCCTGAGGGCCCCAACAGGAACGGAGCATTAGGGTGTGCAACAAGAAAAATGGACAGTGAAGAAGCAGGCTCAAAATTAGTCCATTTAAGGCTAGAAAGATACCCAGTACAAACGACTCCAATTGATTTTGGATCGCTCATTTAAGGTTCAGTCAAGAAGTAATCAGAGAACTGTTGTGAAAGAGTCCAGAAGAGCTTCTCTGTTGAGGGTTTAGGGTTCAGGGTTTGGTGTTTAGGGTGTGTGAGGGCTGTAGTCTGAGGGTCTTCAGGTTTGTAGGGTCGAGCGTTTCAGCGCTTAAAAAGTTGAAGGGTGCCGCTGATGATATAAATCCTGCATTACCCATAATAAGGAATATACCAGCATTCCCATAGTTTAGGGTCCTTAAGGTACTGCAGGATTTATATCATCAACAGTATGAGGGCCTCGGAGTCGAAGCGGGCCATCAAGCAGCCCATGAGCCCGCGCAAAAAACAAGGGATGCTTCGCGATTTATCGGCCACCTGAACTCACCTGAAACACCTGTACCCCTATTTGAGGGTACTTGGAGGGTCCTGGTAGGACATCGTAGGACGTTCGTGTAAGCCCTATAGAGCCCCCTCTAGAACCTACCTGACCTGGGACTCTAAATAAGGGTGTAGGGTTTAGGGTTTTAGGGTTGCTAGG